CCAAGCACCACTATCATGCCTAACTATTAAGAACAGCCAGTCTCACTCTTGGTCCATACTAAGATTTTAATCAACCAAGCTTTCTCCATATATGCGGCTGTACATACACTCACTCATCTTCTACAAGTGCAGTTGATCTTTAACTTAAATTCAGAACTTCATATTTATCTTAATCCATTTTATCTTGTCAGATTAAGTCCATTATTCTAACCCATGTTGAATCAGACGTCTACTCTTCAATTCTCTCTCATAACTTGAAGTCACCTGAAATTTAGGTCGGTTGTTTCTCAAGTCTTCCTCTAAGATAAGGATGTTGATAAGATGTTTTTTAGAGCAGGATAATGATGGAGTCCTGGGACCATAAGCACGTTAGGAACCAGGAATGATGGTCAAGTAAGGAAGAAATACCCCTGCCTGGGCTGTCTGTCATTATGTCAGTTATGCTGACAGTATAACTGCTGTTGTTTCTGCCTGAAACATTCTCTTCTTTCCTCCATTCACTAGATAACTCCCACTTATCTTTCATATCTCCAATGGTAATGGCCTCCTCTAGGCACTTGACCCACTCAAGTACCCCTCCTATAGGCTTCCATGGTACCCTCTGCCTCTCATGTTGAAGCTCTCACAAACTCTATTGTCTCTCAAACTCTATATGATCAAAACAGTGTCTGCCTTGCTCACCATTGTGTTTCTGGGACCAAGAACAGTTCCTGGCAGATAGACAAGTGTCAATAAATATTTGTCAAATGAATGGATTCGTTGATACAAGTTGATAAGCGGTTTTCTTCATGACAGATGTAAAACTAGAGAATGGAAGAAAGATGTTAACCCAGCTCAGAGCTCCTATGACAAGACGTGGTGAGGAACATGATGGATAGGTTTGGCACAGCTTGGATTATTCCTAGGCTTCTAGATACTTTTAGTTTAGTCTTCTGGGTCAGGAAGCTTCATCTTTTGGAGGATTGAGTTTGATGGTCACTGGTGATGGGGAAGCATATGGATCATCATGCATCAACCTCTTTCTAACTAGTTTCAGGCCATAGGCATGTGGATCCTCTGGGATGTCCAATTATGTCAGGAATCAAGAGTATGTAATGGCCAAGGTCTAAGCCTTGTCCACCACCTGGCTATTCTCCTACACGTCGGTGAAGTATCCACATGTGCACTGCCTGTCTTCTGATTACTACAATCTACCTACCTATTCCATCATGAACAGCTGAGCTATTCTCTCACACATGACGGTTCTATTTGCTTATCATGCATGACTATTCTAGTCTGTAGGACAAACTATGGGATGTGGAATTTCTCACTGTTAATGTTGGGTTAATGCCCAGGTAAAGTAGAGATATACCAAAACTAGGCCTACCATCTCCCAGTAAAAATATCTGTACCATATACCAGACAACCTCCCTCCCACAGCCATGCACAAGGCCATACACCAAAATACCCATTCTGGATATTTTTGGTGGCAGTAGGGTTCGGGATTTAATGGAGAGAAAGGAAAAGTTTCCTTAGTCTTGAGGTGCTTCTAGACTGAGGACTAGAAAATTTGACTCCATATACAGGGTAATTTCATAAAACCTCCCACAAAAAACAGTTAATGATCAACTCCATTTTTGCCACTATGTCCACATCCTACTCATGCTGTGGCCAGATGTGTATAAGTTTCAACTCTCCTTGCAGATATTGAGTAAGCTCTTATACCTGGGTATTCACTATAGCAATGGTTTCCACCTCCAGCTGATCAGAATAATTTTCAAATGGAAGTCCCAGATTCTTTCTCTGGAAATTCAAATTAAGTAGGTCTGGGATGGACCCTGGGACTCTGTGTCTTTAAGTGGGTTCCCATTTCACCCTAGCCTAGCGCCTGCGACAAAGAGGAATTATGGATAACTCACCTGGTCTGGAAGGAACCACTGAGAACATCTAGTGCATTTCCCTCATTCTACAGTGAGGATGATAATCCCGGGGAGGGAGGTGTAGAAAGAACAAAGAATGGAGAACTGCAGAGAGATAGAAACAGGATTCCAAGATGGGAAGCATGATCTTTAGACCCAATCTCTCTTACATTCACTTGGACTACTTAGCTCCCCATCTCTGGAAGCCAAGCCCTCATTCTGAGGCAGCATGGTTGGATGTAAAGCATAGGAACCTAGCTGAACTCTGCCTCACACTGCTTGTGACTTGGCCAATGCTTTGGCATTTTTGGGCACTAGTCTGTCGACGGAAATGGAACAATGCTATTGCGTGTTGCCTCAGATTACTGTGAGATTCAAAGCGGGGTGGGGGGAGTCTCTCTTGCAGTTCTTTGAACACCTTTAAAGAGCTTTATAAATGGTCCTTTTTGCTCTGGAATTCAAATTCTCAGGGCTGGTCCTGGGAACACTTTAAGTTTTGTTCAAATGGTAGACATAGAAGAAAAAGGCAGGGAGCTGGGAGGCATGTCATCAGGGAATGGTGGGAGGATGGGAAGTGGAAAGAATGACTGAGAAGGATTGTCCAAAGCCAATGTTCAACCATGCTCCTGAGGTCGCAGTCCCCATTGCCAAACTCATTTTAAGAGCCCCAAGCTTTTAAAGCATAGAGACAGAGACAACAGAAACAGAGACACATGCTAAGAAATATGCAAAGCCCACTAAAGGACATGCAGACACACTTACTCCTGGTGCCCTTTTCCTCTGAGCTGCTATAGATGGACTGTAAATTTTCACTGTGGGCCTGCCTTGAGGCTCAGTTATGGGCATCCTGTCAGAGGAAGTGGAGGCCCTTTGAGGCCAATTCAGACTAGCTCCCCAGGAGGAGTGTTTGGCCCTGAGCTCCTCTGGCTACAGAGATGACACTGAGGCTGGCTCACACATAGTCCTGGTCTGTGAGGGAGCACCAAGCCATTGGGGGTTCCCTGGCTCAGTCCCAGCCTGACTCACCCCTCTATCTTACCATCATTCAATCCCTTTCCATAGCCAGGCCTAGTTATCATGGAGACCAGAGTCTACCCCCAGAGGACAGTCCAGGTCATGGGTCATTGGAATAAAGAGGCTGTGTGGTGACCTATACCTTGCACCTGGTGTCAGGGCAAGAGGGGCTTCTTAGGAGTCAATGCCCTTCTCTCACAGCCAAGTCTGTGTTTCTTCTGTACCTTGAGGGGATGGACTGCTCCTCACTCACCCTCTAGACAAGGGGGGCCTTTTCCAGGGTTGTGCTTGAGACCATGGGAAGAGAACTAATGAGAATCCACTCTCCAGGGTTTCCAAGCCTCTCCCCATCCTGCTCTCCTCACACCCACCCAGGGTCCTGGGCGATGGAAACCTAGGGAGCTCTGTGGGAGCCATTCGGCCTTGCCAGGCCCCTGGGGCATGTGCCACAGAGCAGATACAGTGCTGCAGCAGCCTGGATTTTAAGAGAAGGAGCAAATGTGGAACTGGTGAAAATAACCTTTTCAATAAACGAGATAACTCCAAAATTATATTGGAAAAATGACTGGGTTGATACAGAAGAGACCTCTGGAAGAGGCAGACTCTGTGACCAAGATGAAAAGTGCCATGTGTAGCAGAAAAGAGCGTAGGCTTGAAATTGAGTCTAACTGTAAAGCTTAGGCAAGTCACATAAATCCTGTGTACTTAGGTTTCCAACTCTGCAAAATGGCAAGATGCTAATGCCTATGTGATGGGCAGTTGTGGACATTAGAGGAAATATATATATAAAATCACACACACATATATATACATATCTCTCTATATACATATTCATATTCTACCTGCATGAGGCATTTCACTAAACTAGTAATAACCAAACATTACTGAGCATCAGAAACACCTGGAGGGCTGGTTAAAACACAGCTTTCTGGGCCTCACTCCCAAGGTCTCTGCCTCAGTGGGTCCAGGCTGATGCATTAGCATCTCTCATGAGGTCCCAGGTGATGCTGATAATGCTGGTCCAGGTACCACACTTTGAGAACATGCACTAGGTGGTAAGCTTTCTGGGAGCAAACAAGGGTTATGTCTGTCCCTTTTACCAGTGCCCCTCTAGCAGGTAAGCAATGAACATTTGTCAATAAATAAATGAACGAGTGGATGTCACATAAAGAGCCTCAGTTTTCCTTTATACAACACAGGGTTTTACCAGGTGGTCTCTTGGGTCTCCACCACTCATACAGCAGGACTAGATCCCTGGGGCGAGAGAAAGACATACTCAGAGCCAGGCCCTGGATCTGTGGTGCCCAACTATGGAGCGAGAGCTGCAGGGCTCTCTGGAGTGTGGCACCGGATCAGACCTCCACGGACCCAGGACAGAGCGGACCCTGAAGTCTTCCTAAGAGGGGCCCCTTTCATCTTCCATAGACTGTAGTGGCCTCAGGGCACTCTCTCCCTCTGGGGAAGGGCTCTCCTCAGGAACACTCATTCCCCATCCAGCGCTCATCTCAGCAGCAGGGTGTGGGAGGAAGAGGCACCCCTCACTCTTCTGCCGTCCCAAATCCCAACTTCATGCTGCCAAGACCACCCACGCCTAATGGGATTTGGGAGCAATGGAGGAATGCAGAGTCAACCTCAGATGTTCCTTTTAGATTATGTCAAAAAGAAAAAAGTGTAAATAGTTTATTCTGAACAAAAGAAGAGTGCAACCAGTGCAGAGTATCCCAGAGAGCCTCCACAGGCTCCCTCTCCCCTCCCCTGACTCCACAGAGGTCACATGGCTGTGACTACAGCCCCAGAGCTGGGTGACCTGCCCAACCCCGGCCTGAAGACCTTTACCCCTAGATTGAAGAGCAAGAGTTATCTTCCATTTCCCTCATTTCTCGTGCCTTTTCATCCATGCTTTCCCAGTAGGGGCCAGGGACACTGACAGGAGATAGAAAACCCACAAGGCAGCACACCTGGTCTTTCTAAGGAAAGCTTAGCCACGGGTACAATAAACCCAAGAAGAAAAACAATGAATAAAAAAACAAAAACTTATCCCAGAGAGTCAGGATGGAGTAACACACAGGCAGTATGCAGGACCCAGGCTATGAGGGTATCATCATCTTTATTGTTGCATGTCCTCCTTTTGTCCCCCATCCTGGGGTTGCCCATTGAGAGAGATCATGGCTCAAGCTGCTAACCCACAATCCTTGCTGAGCAGCTGTCTGCCACAGGAGAAACATGAGACTTTAGGGATATTCTGACTCCACTCAAATGGGAGTTTACAAACTAGTTGGACAGGTAAGACAGACACACCTGAAAAATGAAAAAATAATTCAGGACATGTTGCAAGGCAGTTGCCAAATGGGTTGTGTGGACAATGCAATGAGTTCTAGGAAGTCAGTGCAGGCTTCTATGGGCAGGAGGAAGCAGAAGAGGCTACAAGGAAGAGGTCTTGAAAGATGGGTTGGATTTCAGATGCTGGAAGTAGCAGAGAAGTGGTCCAGGCAGAGAAGAAAGAATAAGCAGAGGTTTGGAGGCAGGGACACCTAAGGTATGTCTTGAGGAACACCCAAGATGTGCCCTGTGGCCAGAGTGGTCTGGCTAGAACTGTGTACAGAGGAGGAGTCAGAGGTGAGACTGGAGAGGAGTCTGAGACCTGGGTGTGGATCCTGAGATGACATGCAAAGGAATTTGGACATCACCTGTGCAGCAGGGAGCCTCTGAATGTCATTGGACAGATGCAAACAAGAACATATTGGAAATTGCAGCTGCTGGGAAAGGAGGAGCAATATTTTCAGGGTTGGAGACAGAGATGTCTCAGCCACATTTCCTTTAAAATAGGTACCCTTTGCTCCAGCATGGGCCCCACCTTTTACTCCAGCATAAGTGCCTCCTTGGTCTCCACAACCACCCGGACCCCACAGCTCTGGAAACACATCACAATGTCCACAGCTAGCACCACTCTCTCACTACTGGTCATAATCAGCTGGGCCACACCTGGGGGCCTCAGTGTCCAGGTGGTGTGGACTGGACTCACAGAAGCCTGGGCACGGAATTGGATTTAGGCCCGAGTATGGGATGGGTCGGCTCAGAGGCTCCACACGTGGCTCTGGGCTTGGGCAGCGTACTGGAAGGGGAATCGGCTCTGGAAGTAGACAAGGTTCTGGGCGCTCATAGGGCTGCGGACGTGGATGTAGCTCTGGAAGCTCACGCTGCACTGGGCGAGGACATGGGGCTGGACGTGGTTCCGGACACAGACAGGGTTCCGAAAATCGCCATGGTGGAGGACACGGGCGTGGTTCTGGACTTGTGCATGGTTCTGGACGTGGACAAGGACGTGGGGCAGGAAGTGTACTTTGTGGCACTGATGGCTCTGGACGTTGGTCCAGACGCCGGGGTGGACGGAAGCTTGGGAGTGGACGTGGCTCTACACGTGGCCTCAGCTCTGGGCAGGATGTACCCCAGGAGGGTTGTGGCGTACAATTCTCAGAGCAGCGTCTGATGGGAGGAATCTGAACAGAACACTTCTGGGGAGGAACCTGCTTGGGGCAGCAGGGGGAGGAAATCTCTATTCGGCACTTGGGTCCACATCTCTGAGAGCCGCCTGAAGAGGGACCCCGAGGACAGTCACTGTGATGGATGGGCTCAGAGCGGCGGGGTGGGGTGCAGTAGTTATAGGAACCTGAAGAGTGTCTTGATGGCAGGCAGCTGGTGTAGTAGGGCTCAGAACATCGTGGTGGGGAACAGCTGCGGTAAGAAGGCTGCTGCTGGCGAGGAGGGAGGCATCTGCTGGTGCTCTGAGAGCGAGGCTGCGTGGTGAAGCTCCCATAAGAGCCCCGGGTCGGGTATTGGGGTTCATAAGTGCTAAATGAAGGCCGGGACTGACGCTGGGGGGCACAGCTGCTGTAGGAGCCCTGATATTGGCCTTGGGTGGAGAATCTTTCCTCAGTCTGGTACACCGGGGGACTCGCTACGTAAGTCTGGACAGGCTGAGGAACTAGACAGGGTATATAGGACTGGACTGGGCCTTCCAGATAACAAGTTTCTGTACAACAAACTGGAGGACATTCTACACAGCAGGTCTGAATAGGGCATGGGTCTTCACACTGCACATAGGAAACCTCAGACTGGCATGGAGCCTGGCCCTTCACCTGGGTGGTCTTAGACTGGCATGGTGCCTGGCACTTCACCAGGGCAGTCTCAGGCTGGCATGGTGCCTGGCACTTCACCTGTTTGGTCTTAGACTGGCACGGAGCCTGGCACGGAGCCTGGGTGGTCTCAGGCTGGCATGCAGCCTGGCACTTCACCTGGGAAACTTGAGCTGGGCATGGTGTGGGGCAATCCACAATTTGCACCTCACAAGGGACTTGGACCAACAGCTGGCTCTTGGCACAGGGGGCTTGGGAGGGACAGAAGGAGGAACTCTTCACGCAGCAGTTGCGGGGAAGTGGCAGGCAATACTGAATCTGCTGCTGATCACACATGGTTCTGATGCAGGCAGGTGAGCAGGACCTGAGGGTAGAAAGACCATGGTCAGGAGGGTGAGAGTTGTTGGAGAGGAGGGGCCAGGACCAAGGGGAAGACACCCTGTTTCTTCCCTGACCTTTCCTCCTCCACCCTCGACCTTACTGAGTTAGCCAGACTCAAGATTAGTCACCTTGGCCCAGGGGACCTGCCTTGGATCTGCCAAAAGACCTTACTGAGGTCCTGATCTGAGGGAGTTTCAAAGGCACAGCCAGGGTTGCAGGTGTCCAGGGTCTCCCCTTCGAGGGTGGGCATACAAGTAACGACAAGAGGATTCTCATCACTTCCCCAGGTCCTAAGTGGTGGGAGGGAGCTCTGCAGGAAGTAGAGATAACATAGTATCCCAAGGCCATAGCCCAAAGTAGGGACTCCCCACTCACAGGAGCTTGGACATCCTCACACACACGAACTGGCAGCACACAGATATGTGCAAACATATAGAATGCACAGATAGGAACAAGCACTCAAGAATAGTCTCCACTCAAACTATCCATTGGAAAGTGAAGGATCCAGTCAGTTACTGAGCAGCTCAAACCCAACATAAAATGTTTGTGTCTCTATATCCAATCTTTTGGGGTGAATTTGTTTAAACAGGCCCTCATGGACATATGCAAAACACACCAGCCTTGGAAAGGCTCAGAACCAACATGACAACTTGCCCATGCAGATTGCTGTCATTAATCCCCTGAAGTGGGACAGTCTGCTAGCCCCAGAAATATTTTCTTCCCGGCCCCTCTGAGAGGCAGGGTGCAGTTACCTAAGATGGGGTAATCCAGAAAATGCAAGACTGACATTTAGTCCCATGTAAAGCTCTACACTGCAGCAGCATTACAAACATGACTTGGGGGATGCAGGCATACTCTCCAACATCACACTAAGCCAGAGAGAAACAGAGGGCAGTCCCCACACCTCCCCGCTCCCCAAATCTGCCTGTTCATGTACAGGCAGCCCAGAGACCAGCACAGCAGGAAGGCTGATTTGACAGTTGGCTCATCCAACAAAACAGTTCTCAATAAGCTTCTGAAACGCTGAAAATACTTCCAATAAAGGGCAAAGCCTTCCATTCTCCATTTATAGAGAATATCTAAATACATATGTCCTTGGGGAAGGTAACCCCCCTACACAAAATTCTGGTCACAAAATGTAAATTACTAATGCATTCTTTCCAGGGAGAGAGGTCTTGATAGGGGAAAATGGTACCTGAGGATGAGGGCAGGGTTATCACAGGCAAATACACTGACTTCAGTGCCCCAGTTCTTCACACAAACTCCACAGATATTCTTATGTCCCCTAAAAGTCCACCAGACTTTTCTCCTTAGGCTGATGTACCACTCTTCCTCTGCTCCCAGTTTCTCCCGTCACTATGCCTCACCCTTGTGAATCTGGGTACTTTCCGAGCATCATCCCCATCCCAATCCCCGTACCCATTCCCTAGACTCACCCTCCGTGCAGGCAAGCAGTCATTCAGGCTGAGGTGTCTGGACAGAGGGCTGTCTTTATATAAATGGTTCTGGCTTTGGCTTAGACCATGAGACAACTGGTTGGCATCTGCCTGGCTCATCACCCAGGTTGGCATTCCAGCAACTGGTCCCCTCCCTGTATGCCTGTCCTTGCAGTCACCTGTAGAGTATGGGAGTGTCTCATCCCAGTGTCGATGAGGAAGTAGATTCTTATTTTCTTCCTCCTTCTTCACTCTATCAGTTTCTTTTCCGTCTCTAGAAAACCTGGTAGTGGGGATGATGAGGAGTGGCAATGGTATCTTCTCTCCAGGCCCCTACCTTCCTCCTTGTCTCAGATTCTCACCAGATAGCTATAAAAGAGGAAAAGTTTCCTGATTTGAAGCAATTAAAATCACCTCAAAGATAGAGGCAATCCTCCAGAAGGAGGAGAACATTGGGTCAGAGCTGAGTCTAACATTCCAGGTTGGCTATTTACAGCTGTGTGACCTTTAAAACCCACCTGAGTATTAATTTACTCATCTGCAAAATGGAGATAATTAAATTTTCTTTCCTGAGTTGTTGTAAGGATTAAGGGGATTATTTTATGCAAAAGCATCCATCCAAGAATGATATTCAAAATATCCAACATCTACTCAGAGTAAATGCTAACCATAAGCAACAGGCACAGCTGGATCAATGTCTGTCTGCTGCATCCAGTCCTGAGCTGAGTAGCCTGATGGCTTTACGGCAGGTGCTCAGCTAATGCTATGGAGTAGTCCTTAAAGACAGCACAGTGCCCGACAGAAATAATAAACTGGCATCCTGTGAGCCAGATACAGACAAGATGGGATATCTTTTGCCTACATAATTTTTGGGCACATAATTTTTTAAGTAATCATTAATATTTAGAAATAGATTTTACTTAAAATCCAGCTTTTCTTCTAAAATCAAAAGTTCTGGCATAGGTGAGCCCATCTTCCATCAAACCAATTAACAGCTGCCCCTCTTAGATAGGACATATACTTTTTATGTTCTACAATTCTCCATCATTCTTTATATCTACAATGAAACGTAAAGTATAAATTTTCTTCCTTTATTTTACTTGTGCTCTTATTTTTCTTTGGTGAAATTCAAGGAAAGTGAAATAATCCACCCACTGGTTTATGTAACCCTCCAGCCCCTGGCGGCATCTAAGATTCTGACCAAGCTTGTGAACAGAGACTTTAGATTAAGGTAGATTTGGGCTTGAATCTAAGCTCTAGTACTTACTAATGGCGTGAAAGCTACTTAACCTCCATGAGCCTCAGATTCCTTATCTATAAAATGGAAAAAAAAAAACGGAAAGAAGAAGGAGAAGGAAGAGAAAGAGGAGGAGGAGGAGGAAGAAAGAGAAGAAAAAGAAGAATTAGAAAAGTCATAGGATTATTGTGTGAATTAAATGAGATAATTGATTTAAAGTGAGATAACTGATCTAAAGTACTTAGCACTTAATTAGCCATTTAGCTCTCTAGGCTTTAGTTTCCTCATATGAAGATGGGAGTGAAAATACTTACTTCACCAGGTTCTCGTGAAGATAAAGTCAGATAATGGGTATGAAAGTGTTTTGTGACATAAAAAGCACATGCCAATCATGTCTATGAAATCCCTCCAATGGGAAAGTCTCTGCCCGGATCAACCCGACTTCAGAGTCCGAGTTCTGGATCCTATCACTCATTCCAAAGGAGTCTCCAGATACCATTCCAAACTTGAGTAGGATCATAGACTTGCGGACCCCCAAGAATTGTCCGGTCCCACCTCGTCATTCTACAGATGAGGACTGGAAGTCCCAGAGAGATAAACCTGTCTGGGACCTAAAGCTAATGACTGCCTTGGAGGGACAAGACTCCACGTAGCTCTCATCCCAGACCAGGACCCTTTCCATGACAACAGAGAAATTATTTCTCTGATCACACACAATTTGGCCAAGGTGCTCTGAAGTTGAATAGCCCTGATCTTGATGTTGGCCTAGAAGGTAGTCAGGAAATCAGTGAAGGAGGAAAACTGCAAACATAGACCAGCTGGCCACACCAGAATGTGAATTATTGAATTCTTTTAGCTGTGTTTCTTCCACTCATCTCTTGATAGAATATGCACTTCTTGAAGGGAGAATCTCTTTCTTATTCATCTTTGTATCTCTAGGTCCCTGACTTAATATGAGTCTGTTGATGAATGGATGGATAGATGAGTGGAAGGATGGCATGAAACTGGGCTTGGTTCATACATCTTAAACCACCGGAGAAGAGTTGATATTGTCCAATCCAGAGAACAAAGAGCACTGCAACTCTTGTTGCTTCCTATTTCCTGCTTTTTACAAATGGAAGTGGGAGGAGGGTCAGGGAAGAGGGCCTGGAAGGTAAATCTGACAGATGACAATGAGGCTGGGTGTTAGAGTTTTCAACAATATCTATAGATAAATGGGGCTATTTAGAAATAGCCGTGTAGGTTGAAATATACATGGCTAGAAATATAATGATATAAATCTAAGAATAAGTGGCAACAATGCAGTGATTTACAAAATTGATACAAAGATATCAAAAGAGAGCTGAGTTATATAGATATCTACAAAAATTATAAAAATAAAGATGGATATAATGGAATATAGAACAAAAGACAGAGATGAAGATATAGATTTAAAAAAATATGGAAGTGTAAATGGTACAAATTGAGCGTGGAATAGATCATGTGAAGGAGACATAGAGGCACAGGGATTGCAGTATATATGGATACATTAATAAAAAAGAAGGAGTCAACTTGAAAAGTGCCATAAGTCTAGAGATAATTCATTGACCACTTGCTGTATAACAGTCACTTGGCTAAGAATTTGACATATCTTAAATCCCTTAATCTTTAAAGTAGCCCCATGGGGTACATATTATTATCATTATTTTATAACTGAGAAAATTCAAAGAGGTAGTAATTTGTTGTAGGTCACAAGCTTGGAAAAGGCAGAACCAGGATTCATAGCCAAGTTATCTAGAAATAGATGCTTCGGGAAGTAGATATATAATGACATGAAGTTACCTTGAGTTACAGATACACAAAGAGGCACTCTATGTTTTATGATACTATGAGATCCTTTTCGGGAGTTATGATCCTTTGGGGCACTGGCTTGCTGAACCTTAGAAGAATTTGCTGATGTCTTAGTGATGCACTGATCCTGAGAGGTAGAACATAAATACTTGCCCTCTGTTTGCAAAAATGTATGTTTTCAACGTATTCCGTAAGAGACTTCTCTTTTTATATCATTTCACAATCTTCATTTTAGTCCCCCTCCCATCACTGGAATAGTCAGCGGTACCAGGACTCATCCCTGAAATGGAGGCAATGTTTGTCATCTGAGATATCTTCCAATCTTTCCATATAAATTCTTAGTGTCTTGTGACCTCTACCTTCAAGAATTGAAGTAGTCAAGGGGGCCGGCCCCATGGCCTAGTGGTTAAGATCAGCATCCTCTGCTTTGGCGGCCCAGGTTCAGTTCTCGGGTGCAGACCTACACCACTCAGCGGTGGCCGTGCTGAGGCTGCAACCCACATTCAAAACACAGGAAGATTGGCATAGATGTTAGCTCAGGGTGAATCTTCGTCAACAACAACAACAAAAAAAGAATTAAAGTAGTCAGGGTTTTACCCTGTCACCAGGATACCATTGAGTTTTCCTCCCTAAGCCCAGCTTCAATAAATTAGATGCATATTTAAGCCACGTAGTACCTATATGTCAACTAAGGTAAAGGTAAAGGAAAAAATAGTATCACAGGTTGTCACCACCTGGCTATATAATAGATGAAGAAACAAGGACACCTAAAGACTATGTCAAGGAGAACAAAGAAAAGTTAATACTAAACAGAGCAGAAGAGCTCCCCAATTCTGTTTGCAACTACCTTTAACAGAGATGTTAAAAGATAAAAGAGAAAGCAAGCACAGTAAGGATAGTGATGGAGAACATCAAATAGATATACAAGGAGATGTAAAGGTATAGAGGGATACAGAGAGAGAGACTGGAGTTGGAAATGAATAAATAGAGAATGTGTAGAAATAAAGGAGCAGGTATAATGACACAAAGTATAGCTATATATCTACTTTAACTCTTTTTCATATTTTGCAAATTTAATAATGTTGCCTCAGTTAAGTTAAATAGTAATGTAAGTATATTTCATTGGCAGGATAAAAACTAGGCTGGGCAAGTTGTACTTCTGCTTGTACAGAGAATTTGGGGCCCCAGAAAGATTCACTGACTATCTTGCACCACTCACACCATCAAACAATAATATTCCGAGTCTAGTGCAGAAGTAAACCAATGACATTTTTAATCATAGTAGAGTCTCAGACAATTATCATCATGGCAAATGGAGAGTCTTGCTTAATCGGGTGCTCAGTCTCATAGAATATAATCAGTATAGCATCACTGGGTTATCAATCATTGGAGAGTAGAGAAGAGTAAAGGGGGCTCACTGGTAAAGATACATCAAATGCCAATCTGTCTTTGGTTTCTAAGAAGCCTATAGCTACATCCTACTCCTCATGATTACTCTCAGTGTAAGCTGTTGTTTCATTTCATTCTTTTTTTTTCTTTTTTTTCATTTCAAATGCCTTTTCTACGAATTCTTTTCTCTTCTCTTCGCAGAACACTCTTTCCTGCTCCTTTATCCCCACCCATCCCTATTCCCCTTGTGTGCCGAACATCTGCTAATATTTCCATCACATTTAACTCAAACACCAATGTCTCCATCTGTCTTACTAGGCTCTACTCTCACCACCCCCCTGGGAAAAATGGACCACTTTGGGGCCCCCAACAGTCTTCTTTTATAGAACCTACAAATACTGCACTTCTTTGCTGATGTATCTCGTTTCTTCACGAGATGATGAGCATCTTGGTGGCAGAAGACTGTGCCTAGAAGAAATCCAGTTTTCCATAAAGTGCCCATTAAATGTTTGTCAAATGAAAATCAGGCTAGTAATAAGTCCCAGGGGTCAATTAAAAGAGTTAGTCGTCTGATGGGATACCAG